GGATAGACAGTTGACTGGTAGACTATATTGACCTTTGGTATAGTAAGCAGGCGGAAAAGCATAGTGCCTAAGGGAAGTACCAAAACACCTTGATAGGGGAGGTGCATGCAAGCAGATGAGGAAATGTGGCTATATGGAAGACATTATATAGTAAAACCTGCAAAATGGTGAACGTAAATCTGGGAAAAAACACACTGACCTCCCCTGTGCCCAATAAAAAAACACACAACCCTCCCCAAAGCAAAAAAAAAAAACTTGGACAACCCTCCCCTATTTTGGACCAGCCCCCCACCCCTGTAAATCTCTAACTGTCCCTGAGTGGAACAAACATACTTCCATGTCAGCCTCTTGGGAGAGGAGAAGATGGAATTGACTGAGTTACTAAATAAACTGGATATTATAAACAGATTAAAAGCAGAAGGAGACTTTATTAGATCTAGGAAAACATGACTTGAGGAAGGAGAACAGAATTCATCCTATTTCTTTAGACTTGAGAAATGTCACTCTACAAATAACACTATCCATAATTTAAACGTTGATGGTGTTTTTACAGATGACCAAAAAATGAATCGCTAACTACTGTAGCAATTCTTACAGGAAATGGTATAGCTCTATATACTCTCAGGAATCCACAGAGATGTTTTTTGACTCACTAAATAATGTTCACTCTATCAGTGATACAGAATCTAAACAGTGTGATGAACCCATCATAGTTGAAGAGATTATCGAGTCTATCAGACATCTAAAGAACAATAAATCCCCAGGTATTGATGGAATTACGGCAGAATTTTACAAGTTATTTTCTGAAGCCTTTTTAGAGAGTATTAAAAACAATGTTCTCCCTCCTACAATGAGTCAGGGGTTAATAACACTGATACCTAAGCCTAAAAAAGAAGTGCTGCTCATCGATAACTGCCGTCCAATTTGTCTTCTTAATAATGACTATAAGATATTAGCCTTACTACTTAATAATTAAAGAAGTCCTGGATGCAATCATTGATGAAACATAGTCTGGCTTCATGAGGGACAGACATATTGCTAACAATATCAGACTAGTATTAGACGTACTTGACTACTCAGACCTAATAACCGAGGATAGCTTCATATTATTTTTTGATTTTTATAAAGCATTTGACACGGTGGAGCATCAGTTCCTCTTCCACTCTCTTGAGAAATGTGGCTTTGGGGATTTTTTCTGTAAGGCTGTTAAGACTATACGAATGGTAACAGCTCTATCAAACTGAAACATGGCACCTCTCCTAGATTTGAGTTAAAGAGAGGAATTAGGCAAGGTTGTCCTATCTCACCGTATCTGTTTTTATTAATCACCCAACTTCTTACAAATTCTTTAAATAATAGTCCTGTACAATGTATTTCCATAGCTGGTAAAGACATTATTATAAGCCAGTTGGCTGATGATACTACACTTTTTCTGAAAGACGCTAGTCAGATTCCCATATCGATCAATGTGATAGAATCCTTTTCCAAAGCATCTGGTCTATGTCTTAACAGTAATAAATGTGAACTCATGGATGTCAAAGATTGTGTGACACCCTCCATATTATGGTATTCCAGTGAAAGAAGAGCTTACATATTTAGGCATAACCATGACTAAAAGGATCAGAAGTCTAGAGGCTTACTACATTTTAACCCTCTTATAAAAAATAAAATTAAAAAAAGAAGCTAAATGAATGGCTACAGCGGGACTTATCTTTAACCCTCCCGTTGTCCTGGGGTCAAAATGACCTTTCTTTAAAGTCTCCCTGCCTCCTTCTCACAAATGATCCCCCAAAATATAAACATTAAATAAAGTTGGTTCAACACAGTGGCGGGTCATTTTGACCCTAGGACAACGGCAGGGTTGGAAGTGCCCTAAAAACCAAGGCAGAGGGTATCTCCAGACTAACATACACTGCTCTATCTTTACATCTTGATGGTAAAATAAGCAAAGAGATGCTTTTCAACTTTCTGTGGAGAAACCGTACCCATTACATTAGGAAAACTGTTGTAATGAACACTTATGAGTATGGTGGGCTGAATTTTCTGGACTTTACTACCTTAAATAATACTTTTTAAGATCAATTGGATAAAACAATTCCTAAGAAGACCCACTTCTATGTGGAACTTTATTCCTCATCGTGTCTTCTCTACTGTTGGTGGCCTTAAGTTCATGTTGGTTTGTAATTATAATATTGACAAAGTTCCAGTGAAACTCTCTGCTTTTCATCGGCAGGTTTTTTTGTCATGGTCCTTAATTTATAAGCATCGTTTTTCTCCACACAGATATTATATATGGAATAATCGGGTCATATTGTACAAAAGTACTTATTTGTTTTTAAAATATTGGTTCCGAAATAATATCCTATTGGTGAGACAACTTGTAAATGCAGAGGGTCTTTTACTTAATTATGAGGAATTCTTATCACTTTACAAGATCCCTGTAACACCTAAAGATTTTGCAATTGTTTTAGATGCCATTCCCTCAGGTGTTGCTTTATTATTCAGGAACGTGTCACATACTTACTTATTAAACAAATTAAGGACGTTTCTTTAAAGATTATTCATAAATATGATCCTGTCAACCACTATATGAAGAAGTAAAAAACAAACATAAATTCAAATTGTACCTTTTGTAATGATCACCCAGAAACAGTGTTTCATCTTTTTTGGCATTGTATTCATGTAAGGAATCTGTGGCAAGACATCAGTAGATTTATAATTTAACACATTTATGAAGATTTTACACTATTATGGAAAGATGTACTGCTTGGATTCTTTACTTACGATAGAAATAAGTCTAAATAATTTTATGTAATTAATTTCATTATTCTTTTGGCCAAATGTCATATTCACAAATGTTAATTTACAAACAAAACACCAGATTTTCTTACCTTGCAAAAAGAAATGTAACAATATTTTAAGACAATTAAATACTCTACCAACAAAAAAGCTGTTAGAATTATAAATGTGTGAATGTTCCTTAACTTCCTTGTGTAATGTCATATTGTACCCCCAAGCCCAAATGTCCTTTGTATATTCTTAATATATACTTGTGTTCCCCATGTACTTTTTGTATTGATTTGTTGTTAATAAAATTTTAAAAAAAGACATACTTACATGACATGTAGAATAAGGTCAGGTATTTTACCTTATCCAGTTGTCTGCCTTCTGTTGCTGTGTCAATACTTTCCATTATCTTTCTGTGGGTTAGGTCGCCTTATGAATAGAATGGAATAGGTGAGAGTTCTTGGTTGGGGTTTCAACCAAGTGCTTGCTATATACTGGGGGAGAACAAGTATTTGATCCACTGCCAATTTTGCAGGTTTTCCTACTTACAAAGCATGTAGAGGTCTGTAATTTTTATCATAGGTACACTTCAACTGTGAGAGACGGAATCTAAAACAAAAATCCAGAAAATCACATTGTATGATTTTTAAGTAATTAATTTGCATTTTATTGCATGACATAAGTATTTGATCACCTACCAACCAGTAAGAATTCCGGCTCTCACAGACCTGTTAGTTTTTCTTTAAGAAGCCCTCCTGTTCTCCACTCATTGCATGTATTAACTGCACCTGTTTGAACTCATTACCTGTATAAAAGACACCTGTCCACACACTCAATCAAACAGACTCCAACCTCTCCACAATGGCCAAGACCAGAGAGCTGTGTAAGGACATCAGGGATAAAATTGTAGACCTGCACAAGGCTGGGATGGGCTACAGGACAATAGGCAAGCAGCTTGGTGAGAAGGTAACAACTGTTGGCGCAATTATTAGAAAATGGAAGAAGTTCAAGATGACGGTCAATCACCCTCGGTCTGGGGCTCCATGCAAGATCTCACCTCGTGGGGCATCAATGATCATGAGGAAGGTGAGGGATCAGCCCAGAACTACACGGCAGGACCTGGTCAATGACCTGAAGAGAGCTGGGACCACAGTCTCAAAGAAAACCATTAGTAACACACCACGCCATCATGGATTAAAATCCTGCGGGGCATGCAAGGTCCCCCTGCTCAAGCCAGCGCATGTCCAGGCCCATCTGAAGTTTGCCAATGACCATCTGGATGATCCAGAGGAGGAATGGGAGAAGGTCATGTGGTCTGATGAGACAAAAATATAGCTTTTTGGTCTAAACTCCACTCGCCGTGTTTGGAGGAAAAAGAAGGATGAGTACAACGCCAAGAACACCATCCCAACCGTGAAGCATGGAGGTGGAAACATCATTCTTTGGGGATGCTTTTCTGCAAAGGGGACCGGACGACTGCACCGTATTGAGGGGAGGATGGATGGGGCCATGTATCGCGAGATCTTGGCCAACAACCTCCTTCCCTCAGTAAGAGCATTGAAGATGGGTCGTGGCTGGGTCTTCCAGCATGACAACGACCAGAAACACACAGCCAGTGCAACTAAGGAGTGGCTCCGTAAGAAGCATCTCAAGGTCCTGGAGTGGCCTAGCCAGTCTCCAGACCTGAACCCAATAGAAAATCTTTGGAGGGAGCTGAAAGTCCGTATTGCCCAGCGACAGCCCCGAAACCTGAAGGATCTGGAGAAGGTCTGTATGGAGGAGTGGGCCAAAATCCCTGCTGCAGTGTGTGCAAACCTGGTCAAGACCTACAGGAAACGTATGATCTCTGTAATTGCAAACAAAGGTTTCTGTACCAAATATTAAGTTCTGCTTTTCTGATGTATCAAATACTTATGTCATGCAATAAAATGCAAATTAATTACTTAAAAATCATACAATGTGATTTTCTGGATTTTTGTTTTAGATTCCGTCTCTCACAGTTGAAGCGTACCTAAGATCAAAATTACAGACCTCTACATGCTTTGTAAGTAGGAAAACCTGCAGAATCGGCAGTGTATCAAATACTTGTTCTCCCCACTGTATATACAGTGCTGTTTCCAGGAGTCTCCAGGCAACAGAAAACATTGTCTCATTTCACCATAGGGCGTGCTGTTGTTCAAGATCCCCGATTGACTATGACCAAATATGCGTCACTGCAACCTGGAAACGCAGTAGCTGTTCAAATGAAACTTTATGCACAAGAAGGCTACATGCAAAATGCACGTTTCACACCGAGTTAGATGTGACTCAATGTAGATACTGTAGTTATTTTTAACATGACAAGAATTGGAACATCTTCTTGTTTGAGAAGCCTGATTTGGTGAGTTATTTTCTTTAAGCTAGCTAGCTATATCTCTCATTGATTTGAAGCTAGCTAGTTACCTTGCAAGTGCTAGTGCACGAGCCTTTCTTCATGGACGCTTTGATGTGGCATACATCCCTCTCGTGCTTTATTGTGACCATCATGAACGGCTACATTCTAGTGACCAATGACCATAATGTCCGGAACGTTTATTGTAATCTAGCTAGCTACTTAGCTATTGCAAGCTATTGCATGCGTTGCCATTCAACCAAGGTCAATCTTCCTGATACAAGAAATTAATGCATATAGCTAAAACGTTAGTAATGTACAGTCCATTGGCAAAATGCATTTCTATGTGTTAAGGTTTTAACATTGGATCCTCTTGAATAGAATACACCCCATAGATATGTTGTTTCCATGATTATTCAACATTGATAATTTATTGATTTAGCTAGTTAATACAGTATGCTTATGTTTTCTCTTCTCTTTGGATTCCTGTGTGTAGTCCAATCCATATACGCAGATAACATGTTCAGGACACTGTTGTGCCGACTGAGGATCCAGAAGCCTTTGGGGAGTAGGACATGTGCCTATAGGTTCACTTCTGTCAATCCGTCGGACCCTATCCAGCCGCATGTGAGTCCACCTAGAACTCGACTAGCTCCCTGGACCACCTCAGACTCTGTTCATAATTTGACCTGTCACTCAAACACACACGTCCAACAGCATGGCTGGACTGTCAGACGAGACGGGGAGCGAGATGTTTTGTATGCGTCACAACATTTTAACATCGGTGTTCTGTCAGTATCAGCTGTCGCTGGTCAGCCCACCTCCACCAGACATTGGGGTGTCAGTATACAGAGAAGGCTCTATTCAACGGCTCCTATTAAATCAGTGATGAATCCAGTGACCGTGCTTGGAAGTGGGAAGAAACTTCCTAAAGGCCCCAGGACCAAACAACCATCCAGAACCAATCAGCCGACCCCAAAGGAGGACAAGGTGAAGCCGTCGATCAATCAGATTAAAGGACTGGGAGATGCTTAATAAATGAACAAATGAATGAATGGTGGGCTAAATGGACAGATTAATGAATTAATGAATGGAATAGGTTTTATTGATGAATAGAGAGGAAATTGGATGTGGTACATACAGGAACAATACAGACACACACATCAGAGCATAGAGACTTAAGCCCTATCTTAACATCTGATATGACCCAATTGTGATTCTTGATCATGTGGGGTTAATATGTCATTAACAATGTTTTTGCATCAATGTTCTATCTGTCCCCATAGGATATGATGCAGTGCATTGCCTTTGCAACAGCGGACCAGTACCATTTGCCAACACTCTGCCATGACCTCATAGCCCAAGGCTTCTACGAAGTAGATTTACCAAGAGGTAGGCCAACACCTTTTTACTTTACGTCATGGATACTGTAGGCTAATTGCTTACTCTTTTCACGGCTGTGCAATGTAACAAAATACACATTTTGATTATAATATATTTTGATTTCAGATGCCTCAAATGCACTCGTAATATGCACTGACAACGCCCAAAAACCCAGTGACAATGCAACAATGTTCTTCTTCAGGTATGTCCTCTTTTTTTTCTATATGTTATTGGTTATGTCTCTTACACAGCTTATTGTTTTGTTTTGAATATGAATTAAGCCTTTTTTTCCCTTCTAGGGAGGGATCAGTGGTCTTTTGGAATGTTGAAGAGAAAACTGTAAGAAGGATTCTGATCCTATTGCACATACGAAGTCACAATAGTGTAGTAGTTCTAGTTCTGATAATAACAAAAATATAATGTTACACTCACTTAAAAATCACTGTTAGGTGAATGTTCGGTTCCCTTGAACCAGGTAGTCTAAGCAGGTAATTTGTAGAGGGAGCTGCAGATATTGTCAGTTACAGATCAATAATGCAATTTCTTGCTATTAAACTGCTTTGTTTTTCAGATGAAGAAAGTGATGAGGATCTTGGAGCGGCATGAGATTCATCCTTACGAGGTAGCTCTGGTCCACTGGGAAAATGAAGAGATCAACTACACTATAGGAGAGTACGTCACCTGATATGGTTGGTCGTTACAGATCGATGATTGCAATTTCAATATTGTAGATTGCTGAAAAAAAGAATGATTTAATATGATATATCTTTAACATTTATCATTATTGAGTTGTCATTTGGATGATAATAACAATTTTATTTTACTCCTGGGATTGGGAACAATTTGTTGTATATCATTGTCTTTAGTGACCAGTGTCTTTTGTTTACCCAGGGGAAACTCAAAGCTACAACGCGGTAACTTCCTGCTGAACAATGAAATACATCCTGACGAGGCCGTGCTGGATAAATTTGCATTCTCAAATGCCCTTTCTTTGTCAGGTTAGCTGTTCGTTGTTAATGTATGAAACATAGCATTACTGTTAAAAGGTCCAGGTGTATATACAGTACTATGGTGATTTATCCTCACAGTCCGTATACTGCCCTCCCGTCTGTCTGGGTTTTGTTGCAGTGAAACTGGCCATATGGGAGGTGGCTTTGGATCACTTTGTGGAGTCGATTCAGTCAATTCCAGAGGTAGGATACCAATAATCTCTGTACAGTTTGGATCTCCACACTCATGAGTAGATAATCACATAATCATCATTACAAATTGTTTGTCCCTGTAAAAATCATTTGACAGAGGTTCCTCCCAACTGACTATATTATCTGCACTTCCCAATCAGATGCTGAAATCTGGGAAGAAAATAAAGCTGTCCAGAGCAGAGGTTATGCAGAAGATCGGAGAACTCTTTTCTCTGAGGTAAAGTTAATTTAAAGCTGTTACTCTTGTTTAGGGCTGTCCCTGACTAAAACAAATCTTGGTCGACCAATAGTAATCTGTTCTTTCGACTAATAGATTGGTTGAAATGTTTAAGCGTGTATTTTTCAGTATATAGACACACCCCATGTGTTTTAATAAAATCAACTATATATATGCATTGAGCTTGTCTGATGCTTTAAGCTAACTGTTTGATGAAATAAGACACAAATGACTCGGGAGCCAGAGATGAAGATGACAAGAACTACTTTGAAGAATATAAAATATATTTTGATTTGTTTAACACATTTCTGGTTACTACATGATTCCATATGTGTTATTTCATAGTTTTGATGTCTCCACTATAATTCTACAATGTAGAAAATAGTAAAAATAAAGAAAAACCATTGAATGAGTAGTTGTGTCCAAACGTTTGACTGGTACTGTATATATGTATTTGCTACTGCTCGACTAATAAAAATCTTGGTCGACCAACAGCCTATCGACCAGTCGAATAATTGGGGTCAGCCCTACTCTTGTTTTATTACAGTTCAAATCAAATCAAATTGTATTTGTCACATGCGCCGAATACTTACAAGCCCTTAACCAATAATGCAGTTTTAAGAAAAATAAGTGTTAAGTAAACAATAGATAAGTAAAAAAAATAAAAGCAGTAAAAATAACAGTAGTGAGGCTATATACAGGGGGTACCGGTACAGAGTCAATGTGCGGGGGCACCGGTTAGTCGAGGTAATTGAGGTAATATGTACATGTAGGTAGAGTTAAAGTGACTATGGATAGATAATAAACAGAGAGTAGCAGCAGCGTAAAAGAGGGGGTGGGGGGGGACAATGCAAATAGTCCGGGTAGCCATTTTATTAGCTGTTCAGGAGTCTTATGGCCTGGGGGTAGAAGCTGTTAAGAAGTCTTTTGGACCTAGACTTGGCGCTCCGGTACCGCTTGTCATGCGGTAGCAGAGAGAACAGTCTATGACTTTGGTGGCTGGAGTCTTTGATAATTTTTAGCGCCTTCCTCTGACATCGCCTGGTATATAGGTCCTGGATGGCAGGAAGCTTGGCCCCAGTGATGTACTGGGCCATACGCACTACCCTCTGTAGTGCTTTGCGGTCTGAGGCCGAGCAGTTGCCATAGCAGGCAGTGATGCAACCAGTCAGGATGCTCTCGATGGTGCAGCTGTAGAACTTTTTGAGGATCTGAGGACCCATGCCAAATCTTTTCAGTCTCCTTAGGGGGAATAGGCTTTGACATGCCCTCTTCACGACTGTCTTGGTGTGTTTGGTCCATGTTAGTTTGTTGGTGATGTGGACACCAAGGAAGTTGAAGCTCTCAACCTGTTCCACTACAGCCCCGTCGATGAGAATGGGGGTGTGCTCTGTCCTTCTTTTCCTGTAGTCCACAATCATCTCCTTTGTCTTGATCACATTGAGGAAGAGGTTGTTGTCCTGGCACCACACGGCCAGGTCTCTGACCTCCTCCCTATAGGCTGTCTCATCGTTGACGGTGATGACGGTAGTTATTTAGGCAGGTTACCTTAGTGTTCTTGGGCACAAGGACTATGGTAGTCTGCTTGAAACATGTTGGTATTTCAGACTTGGTCAGGGACAGGTTGAAAATGGCAGTGAAGACACTTGCCAGTTGGTCAGCGCATGCTCGAAGTACCCGTCCTGGTAATCCGTCTGAATGTTGACCTGTTTAAAGGTCTTACTCACATCGACTACGGAACAGCTGATGCTCTCATGCATGCTTCAGTGTTGCTTGCCTCGACGTGAGCGTAGAAGTAATTTAGCTTGTCTGGTAGGCTCGTGTCACTGGGAAGCTTGCGGCTGTGCTTCCCTTTGTAGTCTGTAATAGTTTGCAAGCCCTGCCACATCCGACGAGCGTCAGAGCCCGTGTAGTACGATTCAATCTTAGTCATGTATTGACGCTTTGCCTGTTTTAATGGTTCGTCGGAGGGCATAGCAGGATTTCTTATAAGCGTCCGGGTTAGAGTCCCGCTCCTTAAAAGCGGCAGCTCTACCCTTTAGCTCAGTGCGGATGTTGTCTGTAATCCATGGCTTCTGGTTGGGGTATGTACGTACGGTCACTGTGGGGACAACGTCATCAATGCACTTATTGATGAAGCCAGTGACTGATGTGGTGTACTCCTCAATGCCATCAGAAGAATCCCGGAACATATTCCAGTCTGTGCTTGCAAAATAGTCCTGTTGCTTAGAATCTGCGTCATCTGACCACTTCTTTATTGATCGAGTCACTGGTGCTTCCTGCTTTAGTTTTTGCTTGTAAGCAGGAATCAGACTTTCCAAATGGAGGGCGTGGGAGAGCTTTGTACGCGTCTCTGTGTGTGGAGTATAGGTGGTCTAGAGTTTTTTTCTCTCTGGTTGCACATTTAACATGCTGGTAGAAATTAGGTAAAACAAATGTAAGTTTCCGGCCACTAAGAGTGCCGCCTCTGGATGAGCGTTTTCCTGTTTGCTTATGGCATTATACAGCTCATTGAGTGTGGTCTTAGTGCCAGCATCGGTTTGTGATGGTAAATAGACAGCTACGAAAAATATAGATAAACTCTTGGTAAATAGTGTGGTCTACAGCTTATCATGAGATACTCTACCTCAGGCGAGCAAAACCTTGAGATTTCCTTAATATTAGATTTCGTGCCCCAGCTGTTGTTTACAAATATACACAGACCGCCACCCCTTGTCTTACCGGAGGCCGTTGTTCTATCTTGCCGATGTAGCGTATAGCCCGCTAGCTGTATGTTATCCATGTCGTCGTTCAGCCACGACTCGGTGAAACATAAGATATTACAGTGTTTAATGTCCCGTTGGTAGGATATTTGTGATCGTAGCTAGTCACTTTTGTTATCCAATGATTGTATGTTGGCTAATAGGATTGATGGAAGAGGCAGATTACCCACTTACCGTCGGATCCTTACAAGGCACCCCGACCTACGTCCCCGATATCTCCGTCTTTTTCTCCTGCGAATTACGGGGATTTTGGCTTTGTCGGGTGTCTGAAGTAAATCCTTCGCGTCCAATTCATTCAAGAAAAAATCTTTGTCGAGGTGAGTAATTGCTGTCCTCATATCCAGAAGCTCTTTTCGGTCATAAGAGACGGTGGCAGAAACATTATGTACAAAATAAGTTACAAATAACGCGAAAAAACACACATAATAGCACCATTGGTTAGGAGCCCATAAAACAGCAGCCATCTCCTCCGCCGCCATTATTAGTTTGAGCGAACTGAAATAATTTGCAGAACATATTATGTAAAGTGCATTTGGGAAGTAAGACCCCTTCCCTTTCTCCACATTTTGTTACGTTACTTAATCAATTGTTACCTTATTCTAAAATGGATTAAATCAATAAAAATCCTAATTAATCTACACACAAGGATTTTTAGAAATGTTTGCAAATGTTATTACAAATAAAAAACAGAAATACCTTATTTACGTAAGTATTCAGACCCTTTGCTATGAGACTCAATTGAGCTCAGGTGCAACCTGTTTCCATTGATCATCCTTGAGATGTTTCTACAACTTGATTGGAGTCGACCTGTGGTAAATTCAATTGATTGGATATGATTTGGAAAGGCACACACCTGTCTATATAAGGTCCCACAGTTGACAGTGCATGTCAGAGCAAAAACCAAGACATGAGGTAGAAGGAATTGTCCATAGAGCTCCGAGACAGGATTGTGTCGAGACACAGATCTGGGGAAGGGTACCAAAAAATGTCTGCAGCATTGAAGGTCCCCAAGAACACAGTGGCCTCCAGTTTGGTAACCTGGCATTATCCCTACGGTGAAGCATGGTGGTGGCAGCATCATGCTGTGGGGATGTTTCTCAGCGGCAGGGACTGGGAGACTAGTCAGGATCGAGGGAAAGATTAACGGAGCAAAGTACAGAGAGATCCTTGATGAAAACCTGCTCCAGAGCGAATGTTCACCTTCCAACAGGACAACTACCCTAAGCACACAGCCAAGACAACGCAGGACTGACTTCGGAACAAGTCTCTGAATGTCCTTGAGTGGCCCTGCCAGAGCCCGGACTTGAACCCGATCTCTGGAGAGACCTGAAAATAGCTGTGCAGCGACGCTCCCCAGCCGAACCTGACAGAGCTTGAGAGGATCTGCAGAGAAGAATGGGAGAAACTCCCCAAATACAGGTGTACCAAGCTTGTAGCGTCATACCCAAGAAGACTCTAAGCTGTAATTGCTTCAACAAAGTACTAAGTAAAGGGTCTGAATACTTATGTAAATGTAATATTTCAGTTTTGCATTTTTTATGAATTTGCAAACATTTCTACAAACCTGTTTTTGCTTTGTCATTATGGGGTATTGTGTGTAGATTGATGAGGGGGGAAAACTATTTAATACATTTTTGAATAAGGCTGTAACGTAACAAAATGTGGAAAAAGTCAAGGAGTCTGAATACTTTCCGAATGCACTGTATTTTATTACATTTTATGTTGTAATGTTCTCTGACACTGTGTCAACCTGAGCTCTGACCGGCTGTTTTGTTATGTTAGATCTGTAACGTTGTAATGTTGTTCCAGACACTGCATCAACCTGAGCTCTGACCTACTGATCACGCCAGACTTCTACTGGGACAGAGAGAACCTGGAGATGCTCTATGACAAGACCTGTCAGTTCCTCAACATCAACCGCCGGGTCAAGGTAGGAGGCTAAAATATAATAATAATATATGCCATTTATAATAAATAATAATAATAATATGCCATTTAACAGACGCTTTTATCCAAAGCGACTTAGTCATGCATGCATACATTTTTTGTGTATGGGTGGTCCCGGGGATTGAACCCACTACCTTTGCGTTACAAGCGCCGTGCTCTACCAGCTGAGCTACAGAGGACCACCCATACACAGATGCTTTTATCCAAAGTGATTTACAATCATGCGTGCATACATTTTATGTATGGGTTGTGTCTTCTTCATCCTTAGTATGAGTTTTATGGAACATATTTGATAACATTTGTTTTCATAATATTTGATTTGAAAGCAGACGCGGTATTACGTGTAGGATGCTGAACTAAAACGTTGATACGTTGTTTCTTCTGGGATATATTCCACTTAAGCCATAGGCAGCAAACTGTAAAAATGCTTGTCATTATGCAAGCAATTATAGTGGCATTGAAATCCATTTGCAGCGGTGGGGCCTACAGTTGCTGTCGTCATATTGTTTTTCAGGTAGTGAATGAGAAACTGCAGCACTGCACTGAGCTGACAGACCTAATGAGGAACCACTTGAGTGAGAAGCACAGCTTGAGGCTGGAGTGGATGATAGTCATCCTCATCACTATCGAGGTCAGAGAACCTAACAACAACACACACACACACACACACACCACTTCCTCTAACTCTACAAGGCTTATGTTCTGGTGATGATGATGATGGTTATTATTATGATTTAAGATGATAATGTTTCTAGCGTTATAATGAACAACAACAAGAACCAAAATGTAGCCTTGCTTATCATTTAGATTGTTTTATCTTTTGGTTTGGTTTTGTTTCTTCAGGTGTTGTTTGAACTTGGCAGAGTGATCTTCTGAAGAGCTTCATCAGTGACGATAAAATACAGATTAAGGAAAGAAAAATACTGACAAGATACCTATTTTTGTAAGTATATTATGATCATAATTAACAAGACATTGAAAAGAAGGCTAAGCTTTGACCCCCAAAGAATGTATCTTACTGAACATAAGAAAATCGCACAACTATGTTAGACTTACCGTTCGTTAACACTAGCAGCGATGGAATGCGATGAAATTTGATTTATTAGAATCCCCATTAGCCATCGCCAATGGCTAGTCTTACTGGGGACTGACACATAACAACAACAAAAAAGACTTTACAATTTACATAAATTGAAAAACATGAACATGTAGTGTGTGTGCATCTATTAGTTACACATACATGTCAGTACATACACACAACATGTAGGTCACACGGGGGGAAAGGCGTTGTGAGGTGTTGCTTTGCAAGAAGTAATTAATTTTCAATGGAAGGAGAGAGACTTGAAGCGAATTGAGATATCACTGTAGAAGGTATGATTTTGGTGGGTGGAGTGAGGCTAAAAAGATGAGAAACGTTCATGTTTAAGCCAATCACCAGTGTCTGAGCCACAACATGTAAATGATAGCCAATCGAGGGAGGAAATGTCTCGCTAGCTCACTTTGTGACTGTTGGATTTCTGTTAGCATGCTGCTCAAAATATGTATCCAAATGTACTCATTGATATATAAATGTTGTTTGGAGCTTTTATATGTTTGTGTTGAAACTTAAAATTGTATATTGATTCACTGTACATATTTATTTATTTGGAGACATACATTTCTGTTTATGTCTTCATTCTGGCAAACTGTGTGATAATTCAAACACCCCAATCCAATATCTCATGATCCAAGTGAGCCCTAAGCTTCAGGTCAATTAGAAGATGCTAATTGTCTGATCTTACAATGTCAAATGTTAGTCAGGTTCACAATGTGATCCATGATGATCTACAGCACTTAAATGTAGTGACAGCTGTCATCTCCTGTGTGAAATGTGTTGTGTGTTTGATTTATAAAATAAAGTGGAGTAAACTTAATTGCATATTGTAAGTACATGTCTTGCTTTATTTAGTATAGGTAGAACCATAGTGACAGAACCATAACTCGTATGTAAGAAAGGCCCTGAGAGGCTCGGAGTGGTCCTTCAAGCCGTATGTAAACATCTTTATCTGGCTCGGAGGACTGCTCGGGGTCCAGCCCATATCTATATGACAAAACAGTCGTGCAAATTTTTAACACCGTGGTAATAAAAAGATTAGCATTTATTTCATTAACAGCTTTGAAATATAACAATGTCCATGCAACTCTTTTTTATGTTTTGCATTTTAGATATTAGTTAATATTACATTATGGAAGATAAACAGGAATGTATAATTTCTACAAAGGTTATCAGGTTTACATAATTGTTACAAGAAGTCAAAAGAAAAACAATACACATACACTGCTCTCATTCACACTCACCAATACGTTCTCTCACACACACACACACACACACACACACACACACACACACACACACACACACTGAAACTCTACAGGGGTCAAAACAAGCTGCCATCATCACATTGCATAAGCATTCTATAAGGCTATGTTCTGCTATAGTTTTAAATCTGAAATTAAACTTACCAAATATATTTGTAGTTATAGACAAACAAAGCCAGTATGTGTGACTTGTTAACAAAATAGCTTTAGATATATGTTCACAGGCAAAAAAAATAATACACAAATATAGTTTTGTCTTTCAGATGCAACTTGTGATAAAATAAGCATTTTTATCAGTATTTTGGTCTGTGTCAACTAACCATTGCAGTGCATAGTTTGCAAACTTTGCATATAGTAATTCAACTATATAATTATATGAGATGACGAAGATCGATGGCAATATTTATAGGAATGATCTAATTTGTGCAAATGCAATGTGATAAAAATTCTAGTCTCTGAGCAAATGTTCTATTACCGGTATGTGCAAATCTACATACCTGTACACTACCAGTCAAAAGTTTGGACATAGCTACTCATTCAAGGGTTTTTCTTAATTTTTTACAATTTTTTACATTGTAGAATAATAGTAAAGACATCAAAACTATGAAATAACACATATGGAATCATGTAGTAACCAAAAAAGTGTTCATCAAATCAAAATATATTTCAGATTTGAGATTCTTCAAATAGCCACCTTTTGCCTTGATGACAGCTTTGCACACTCTTGGCATTCTCTCTACCAGCTTCATGAGGTAGTCACCTGGAATGCATTTCAATTAACAGGTGTGCCTTCTTAAAAGTTAATTTGTGGAATTTCTTTCCTTCTTAATGCATTTGAGCCAATCAGTTGTGTTTGTGACAAAGTTGGGGGGGGGGGGGGGGGGGGTAGACAGAAGAAGTCCATATTATAGCAAGAACAGCTCAAATAAGCAAAGAGAAGCGACAGTCCATCATTACTTTAAGACATGAAGGTCAGTCAATACGGAAAATTTCAAGAACTTTGAAGGTTTCTTCAAGTGCAGTCGCAAAAACCATCAAGCGCAATGATGAAACTGGCTCTCATGAGGACCACCACAGGAATGGAAGACCCAGAGTTACCTCTGCTGCAGAGGATAAGTTCATTAGAGTTACCAGCCTCAGAAATTTCAGCCCAAATAAATGCTTCACAGAGTTCAAGTCACAGACACATCTCAACATCAACTGTTCAGAGGGGACTGTGTGAATCAGGCCTTCATGGTCGAATTGCTGCAAAGAAACCACTACTAAAAGGACACCAATAATAAGAAGAGACCTGCTTGTGCCAAGAAACACAAGCAATGGACATTAGACCGGTTGAAATGTGTCCTTTGGTCTGGAGTCCAAATTGGATATTTTTGGTTCCAACCGCCGTGTCTTTGTGAGATGGGTGAACGGATGATCTCCACATGTGTAGTTCCCACCGTAAAGCATGGAGGAGGAGGTGTTATGGTGTGGGGGTGCTTTGCTGGTGACACTGTCTGTGATTTATTTAGAATTCAAGGCACACTTAACCAGCATGGCTACCACAGCATTCTTCAGCGATACGCCATCCCATCTGGTTTGGGCTTAGTGGGACTATCATTGACCCAACACATCTCCAGGCTGTGTAAGGGCTATTTTACCAAGAAGGAAAGTGATGGAGTGCTGCATCAGATGACTTGGCCTCCACAATCCCCCAACCTCAACCCAATTGAGATGGTTTGGGATGAGTCGGACGGTAGAGTGAAGGAAAAGCAGCCAACAAGTGCTAAGCATATGTGGGAACTCCTTCAAAACTGTTGGAAAAACATTCCAGGTGAAGCTGGTTGAGAGAATGCCAAGAGTGTGCAAAGCTGTCATCAAGGCAAAGGGTGGCTATTTGAAGAATCTGAAATATAAAATATTTGTGTCCAAACTTTGGACTGGTACAGTATATATAATCACAGTTTGTCTTTGCATTCTTTTGGTGAGCAGTGGAGTAAATATGTCCTGTGTTGAATGTAATGTGAGTGTATTATATGTTGATACAAATAAATGTTAGACTTCTGTTCAATCCACAAATTAGATTATGAGTAAAGAAAACTCAACTCAGATACTGTGTGTGTAATAAACGTATCTGATGCAAAGGGAAGGACAAACAGGGAAGGAAAAATGGTCTTAATTCAAACATAAATAATATATAGTAAACATTATCGTACCTCCAACTTCTGATAATATGACATGAAAAGGAACAAGAATTGTATTCAAAGAGGTACAAGTACTTAACAGACATACTGAACTGATATAATAACATTGCAACTAACATGAATGTTTTCAAAGAGCTGAAGAATGTCTCCAGATGCAAAAGTGTGCTTGGTAATGGAAGTCATGATGGATGCAGCTTTACCTCCGTTGTGGTGGGTCATCATTCGTGTATGGACTTCTACCTTCTCTTTCAGGGGTTATTTGGTAGTCCAGCACTCCTTTAGCTTGTTGAACCAACAAGGAGAGAAACAAATTCAGGAGGACATTATTTCAGGATAATCCTTCAAGTACTTAAATTCAAAGTAATATAACGAGAAATTAAAAGGACTGACTTACCAGTTCATGATACGTCAGTTTGTTGGAATGGCTGCAGTCTTATTTGGTTTCACTTATGGACAGAACGCTTTGAGGCTCAAGTGCAATATCAAAGACCTCTTCACTGACCTGCAGCGTCTCCTCTATTCCTCCATCCATTTTGTTGCTCAGAACTTCTAAGACATGTGATTTTACTGTGCCAAAATCTTCCTCAGCATCCAGCCACACATCTTGGTCAATCTCGTCCTCTATGTGTGGGATAGACTCTACTGCATTCATCGTTACCTGTTCTGCTTCAGGATTTGGGGTGCACACCACTAGTTCATTTGGGCTATGCAGTGGTGCTGGAGTCGTATGCAGTGGCGCTGGAGTCGAATGCAGTGGCGCTGGAGTCGAATCCAGTGGTGCTGGAGTCGAATGCAGTGGTGCTGGAGTCGAATGCAGTGGTGCTGGAGTCGTATGCAGTGGCGCTGGAGTCGTATGCAGTGGTGCTGGAGTCGAATCCAGTGGTGCTGGAGTCGTATGCAGTGGCGCTGGAGTCGTATGCAGTGGCGCTGGAGTCGTATGCAGTGGCGCTGGAGTCGTATGCAGTGGCGCTGGAGGGGTATGCAGTGGCGCTGGAGGGGTATGCAGTGGCGCTGGAGTCGTATGCAGTGGCGCTGGAGTCGTATGCAGTGGCGCTGGAGGGGTATGCAGTGGCGCTGGAGGGGTATGCAGTGCCGCAGGAGGTGCAGTGTCATTTGTTTGCTCAATTTGACCGACTTCACAAACTTGAGTACTTTCCATTGATTCTGTTGGAACACAGTCAGTATTCACTGCACTTTTTGCAGTAGTACTTGCACTTTCTATTGATTCTTTCAGAAAGCTGTCAGTGTTCACTTCAGTAGTACTTGGAGGTGGCCAGATAGCAAGTGGTGGTGAATCCAATCCCGCAGACACCACTCCAGCATCTCTGGGTTCAATGTGGAGATGGATATGGACATGGGATTCAATAGATAGTCTCTTTTCAAACGACTCAACTGATTCTTTTGCTGATTGTACTACCATTCCCACCAGTTCTTTCTCATGCCCACTGGTAGAGTCTGAATCTACTTCAGACGCAATAATAAATTCAGCCTCCGTTCCATGAACTTCTTGCACATTTGACTGCAAACAGGACTCTGCAAATGTATTGGTAACTATGTCGTCTGGTACTTTGTCAACCTCGAATGTGGACTCTGCAAATGTCTCTGGAGTTGTTCTATCCTCACATACTGTATCAACTTCGAGAGCAATGGAGGGCTCAGTTTCTTTGTCTGAAGGTTCGTGCGCATTTGCCTGAGTATTAAGTTCGGAATAGTTTTCAAATAAGTTAATTTTCTTTCGCACCTGTGCAGCTACACCTGGACATCCTTGAGCATCTGTAACTGCGACCACTGGTGTACCCTCTGGTGATTTAGAAACTTCGGCTTCACTCGTTAATTCAACTTCAGCCTTTTCACTAGATTGTGGTACAACATTGGGGTCATCTTCTGATGAGTTCTGCTGTACATGTTGGAGGATTTCATGAGTTATAATACTGCTTGCCTCTTCAAACACGTCCTCCTCAATCTCCTTAATGGCATTCTCACCCTCTCCTTCGTCCTCCATTTTGTTACAAATGTTTATAACTTCCTTAACATCGGTTGAGGAAACCACCTCAAGGGCTGCCTCCAGAATCGCTTCACCTGACCCCATCTCAGCATTTGCATCCGTCACTTGTACTTGGATCTCATGACCCTTGACTTCAGTTAAGACCACCTCAAAAGCTGCATCAACAATTGCTTCAGCTGATTCAATCTCTACATACATCTCTTGTACTTGGATCTCATGATCAGTGACATCAGTTAAGCCCACTTCAAGCACATTATCAATAATTACTAGAGCAGACTTTAGCTCTGCATCCGCCACTTGTACTGTGATCTCGTGATCATCAGTTAAGCCCAACTCAAGGGTTGTCTCAACATTTGCTTCAGCTGATTTAATCTCAGCGTCCACCTGTTGTACTAGAATCTCGTGATCATTGACATCAGTTGAGCTTACTTCAAGCACTTTTTCAACAGTTTCTTCAGCTGACTTTAGCTCTGCATCCGTCACTTGTACTTGGATCGCATGACCATCAACAAACTGTGCTGATGGCACATTCTTCATCACAACCATGTCCCCTACCTTTAGTGTCTGAACCATAGAAGAGCCTACAAGTGGTCTTAGAGCACCCACAGGATCAATTTTCTCTGGGGATTCTACTGCAGGTGCCACTATGCCAATCAAAGATTCCAAAACATCTGATGGTTCTAACTTCAGAACGTCAGGCATTGCAGCAGTGACATCTTGAACCTCACATGTGGTTGTTTCTGCAACTGATGCATTCTCCATGTCTGCAGAATCCTCTGAAACATCCATTAATTCCTCTTTTTCTTCTACTTCAGGAGTGACCTCCGTGAGAGGCTGTGTGAAAATAAGTTTGTCAGCGACCGACACTTCCAGGCTCTCTGTATCAGGCTGTGGACTGTCTTCTGCTATAGCCTTTCCTTCAACCTGAGCTACACTCTCTTCTGAATTAATGGTGGCTACAAATACTGGTCTTGCCTCTTCTAACTCATTTACCAATTCTATTTGTTGGTCCTTTTCAATTTGTATATGCATGATTGGAATTGATTCATCTTCAGCTTTGTGTACCTCATCTGTAGTGATTCCTGCAGCACCAGACTCTTCCGTTTCCTCAGGCGCCAACTCTGTGGGTACTACCTCGCTGACTTCTAATGAACACTCCACCACATGAGTCACTGGCCATTCATCAACAGCATCTATTTGTTGCGACTCTTCACCTGTGCAGATTGCAACCGCGTCTGATTTTTCATGAGCTATCAAAACTGTTGTTTCCGTCTCCTTTGGTGTCTGTAATATTTGTGGAGAAACTGAAACTGCAACTTCTTCCAGGTGCGGGTCTTTTGTAATTACCGATGAGAGAGTTGGAGTTCTGCTAATGTTTTCAACAACCTCATGCAGAAGTACCTCTGTCTCTTTCAACTCGTATTCTGAAGGCACAGGCGTTGTGTTGCCTGATGTTTTGGGAGACTCGTCTGTCAGCTGTGACACTGCTGAAACCATTTCTGTTGATTCATCATCTAGAGGTTCTGGGGCAGTGACTGCTTCAGATGTCAACTCGATTAGGTCCTCAGCTATGGTATCATCTCGAGTGGCTTCTTCAGCAGTGGACACTTGTGTGGCAATGGTCTCCTCTATTAAGCCTTCCTCAGGTATATCACTGAGTTGCTGATGTTTACTTATGAATTCCGTAAGGTCCTCAAAGTCTTCCGTAGCAGTGGGGGATGTTGATGGGGCCAACTGCTCCACAGTATCTTTGGCTTGAGCCTTCTCTGTTTCAGTGGGCAGGGTGTCTTTGGGTATGGCCGATTCGGTGACCAGCCTAGAGACGTCTGGCTGGGTTTCTTCTGTAATGTGTAATAGAGTTTCTATAACAGCCTCAGTTGATATTATGTGTTTCTCTCCTAGCTCTTCTGCATCAAACTCAGACATGGGGACCACTGCTGGCGTTTCAGAGTCCTCCTCATCATCCGATCCAACACCCTTATCTGCCTCGTCAGAAGATATTGGTTCCTGCTTTCCTCCATGCTTTCGCTTTTTGCGTCCAGGGATGAGTTTCTTTAGAGAAAATGAAGACTCCTCTTTGGTGCTTTCGCTGTCAGATGGCATCTGCTCTGGTGAGTTAGCTTTGCTGACCTCCTCGGTTTTTGCCTTCCTATTTGAGGTGACCAGCTTTTTAAGGGATTTCCATGTTGACCCCCCTTCACTCCCTAAGGGACTTACAGCTTGCTCAGGGGAAGAGGTCAAATGTTCATAACCTCCCTCCTGAGAACTGTCCAGTGGAGACTCTGCAGTGTTTGCAGGTTCACTTAGTGTTTCACCTTCATTCATGGGTGCCTCCTCCTCTGAGTCAGACGTTTTTCTGCCCCTCCTCTTTGCAGATCCACATAGGAAGGCCTCCCAAGAAACAGATATTTCTACTTTCTTTTTGGGCTCTTCTGTGAAACGTTCTAGTACCTGCTCTCCTTCACTTTGCTTTGGCTCCTCATGTGAGCCTACAAGTGCTAACTCATCCTCACTCTCAGAAGATCTTTTGGGACGTCTTGTGGGCGTCATTAGTTTTTTGAAAGAAGTCCAGGTGCCATCCTTTTTCCTTTCACCGTCAGAGGTTACATCACCATCTGATTCGTGGCTTGACCCTAACGGCGCAGACATGTTTACCTGCTCTGCTGCTAATTGTTCTGGTGGAGAGTCAGGACGTTCTCCTCTCTGGTACTCCTCTGACTCTGTGGATGACAGTAAATCCTCAGCAACATGCTCACCAGACCCGGTCAACTCATCTGATTTCCTACCTCTCCGCTTCCTAGAAAGCTTATTCAAACCAGCCCCATATAAGAGCTTCCTGAGTGGACTTCCTTGGATTTTAGCTTTCTCTTGTGAGCTAAGAAGTTCAGCTTCATTTGAGATAACTGTGTGGAATCCCAAAGAAGGAGACTGCTCTTCAAGAATACCCTGGACTGGACTTCCTTGGCTTTTAGCTCTCTCTTGCGAGTTAAGAAGTTCGGCTTTATTTGTTTCAGCTTCATTTGAGGTAACTGTCATTAATACCTCAGGAGCTGACTCCTCTTCAGGAACATCCGCTGTGACTGTGATGAATCCCCAAGGATGAAACTGTTCTTCAAGACTTTCCTGGCTTTTCGCTTTCTCTTGAGAGCTAAGAAGTTCGGCTTCATTTGTTTCAGCTTCATTTGTTATAACTGTTACACATCCCCAAGAAGGAGACTGCTCTTCAAGAATATCCTGGACTGAACTTCCTTGACTTTTAGCTTCCTCTTGAAAGCTAAGAAGTTCAGCTTCATTTGAGATAATTGTCTGTAATCCCTCAGTAGCTGGCTGCTCTTCAAGAACATCCTCTCTGTTGTCACTAGTTTTAGGGACATTACTCATCAGTTCAGGGACATTGGATGTCTCAGCCGTCAGGGAATCTGTTACTATCTCTGACGTTGAGGCCGCAATTTCAAGTTGAACTTCATTCTCATTTTGTTTCCCCTCAATGACCGGTATTGTCTCAACATCTGGACTGATCTCGTCTTTCGTTTGTTCTTGCTCAAGTCCAGCTTCCTCTGGTGTGTTTACATCCTCCAGTTTTTCAATGCTTTGCAGTTCCTGTTCTTTCTCAACTGTCTCACCTTTGGGCGTTTCCTCTCCTAAAATATTTTTCTTTTTCTTTAAACCGGCAAAGATTCCTGTGGTGAAAAACTTCTTAATCGGGGATACAATTTCTTCTTCAACATCCGCAATGGTTGGTGCTGGTGTGTCTGTCTCTTCAGTAGGGGTGACTTCCTCCTTGACTTCGTCCTTGGGTTCCTCATTGACTTCTTCCTTGGGTTCTGTCTTGGGTTCTTCCTTGTGTTCTTCCATTACTTCCTCCTTAGGTTCCTCCTTGGGTTGTTTCTTGGGTTCTTGCTTGACCTGCTTGTGTATTTTTCCTGTCAGGAAAAAACGTTTAAATGGAGACATTTCTTCAACTACAGGAACGGGTGTTGCTGGTGCCTCTCCCTCTGCCTGTGCTACTTCTTCAGGTGTGACTTCCTCCTTTGATTCTATCATTTCAGTGGTCTGTTCCTTGGTGGTTTCATTAAGGAATTCCACAAATGTGAGGTCCGTCATCACAGGGTGAGAGGTAGAATCATCAGCCGGTTCCACTGGTGAATCAGCAACAACCTTGTTCGGTGCTTCATCAATATACGCTTCTAGTGTATCATCTACAAGCTCCGGTGTATCGCCAACACATTCTTTTATCGTATCATCAGTAAGATCCTCCGGTGTGCTCTGCTCAGTATTCTCCTCAGCATTATCTATAGTGGTCTCTGTCTCCTTGCTGTCCTCAGGGGTACGTGCTTCGCCCTCTTCTTTCTTAGGGCTCACTTCTGGTGTTGTGACGGAGTCTTTTTTCAATGTGAATTTTAAACCAATTGAACTGAATAACTTTTTAAAACTATCATTGACTTCATTCAATTTAACTTCTGTTTCAGTCTCATTTGTTGATGCTTCGTCGTCTGCATCCGGTGATTCCTTCCCGTCACTGTCTGCCTTTTCCAGAGGAGGTAACTCCTCTGTGAGAGTCTCTATAGTCTCTGGAATGTCCTCTTTCTGAGAAACGATAGATGAATTTGTCTCAACAACTGCAATGACAAACAAATATGCATTACTCAAAACTGTTCAATGGTGGGCTAATTGCCTGATTCATTTGAATAACTAATCATTATAAACTACTTATAAACTCTTTACAGCCCCCCTATAAAAGCTTAATGTGAAGTGTAAACCAATATCATAACATTTTAAGAACTTCAGGAAACAACTGAACTCTTTATCAAGAAACTAAAAGTAAATCCTTTCTCATACGGACACACACAAACTAACGCTCTTCCAAACTGTGATGACTCACTCTCTGCAATGACTCCGTCTTCACACAGGCCATTGACTTCCTCAGTCTGGTCCTCTGCTTTTTCACTCAGTCCAGAGATCTGTCCATTCTTATGGAGTAACTACAAGGGACAAGGGAACATTTTAAATATACCTAATATAGAGTGCATTCGGAAAGTATTCAGACCCCTTCCCCTTTTCCACATTTTGTTACCTTATAATAATCCCCTCCAATCTACGCACAATACCCCATAATGACAAAGTGAAAACTGGTTTTTAGAAATTTTAGCTAATTTATAAAAAATAAAAAAACAGATACCGTATTTACATAGGTATTCAGACCCTTTGCTATGAGACTCGAAATTGAGCTCAACGCAGGAGGGGCTTCAGGACTAGTCCCTGAATGTCCTTGAGTGGCGCACCCAGAGCACGGACTTGAACCCGATCTTACATTTCTGGAGAGACCTGAAAATAGCTGTGCAGCGACGCTCCCCATCTAACCTGACAGAGCTTGAGAGAATTTGCAGAGAAGAATGGGAGGAACTCCCCAAATACAGGTGTGCCAAGCTTGTAGCATCATACCCAAGCAGACTCAAGTCTGTAATCGCTGCCAAAGGTGCTTCAACAAAGTACTGAGTAAAGGGTCTGAATATTTATGTAAATGTGATATTTCAGAATTTTTTATTTTATAAATTAGCAAACATTTCTAAACTGTTTTTGCTTCTGTCATTATGGGGTATTGTCTGTAGATTGATTTTACATTTTTTACATTTTTAGTCATTTAGCAGACGCTCTTATCCAGAGCGACTTACAGTTAGTCACATTATTATAACAACTTTTTTCATACCCCCTGTGGGAATCGAACCCACAACCCTGGCGTTGCAAACGCCATGCTCTATCAACTGAGCTACATCCCTGCCGGCCATTCCCTCCCCTACCCTGGACGACGCTGGGCCAATTGCACGCCGCCCCATGGGTCTCCCGTTCGCGGCCGGCTACGACAGAGCCTGGATTCGAACCAGGATCTCTAGTGGCACAGCTAGCACTGTGATGCAGTGCCTTAGACCACTGCGCCACTCGGGAGGTCATTGATGAGGGGATTATTATTATTTTTTAAATCCATTTTAGAATAAGGCTGTAACATAACAAAATGTGGAAAAAGTAAAGGGGTCTGAATACTTCCCAATGCACTGCATAGCTTAAATGTATGAGAAGTCACTTTCTTCAGTCATATTTTCCCTTGGGAGAAAGGGGGGACAGCATGTTATCTACAAAAATTATTTATTGCTTTCAACTCCGGAACCAGGATGTCTGTGAAGTTATGATAATTTTGCATCCGGAAAACCTCAGACAAGTGATCTTGGAAAATTTGGAGAACTTGGTTACTAAAAGGAACCACAGGCACAGGTGATTAACAGCAAGGTCTGTGCTGTGTTGAAATGTATTACGAGGAGACACCTACATTTATGATGCTTGCCATTCTATGAATGCTAGACAACAATGAAGAAAGCAAATGGGCATTGGGGGGTGTCAGTATGTCTCATATTAAACAATTAAATGTTTGTCGCCATGTTGCATCACTGTTTGTGGTTCCAGTCAATCAATTCATGCATTGTTTTGACCTTATTGACCTGCTGACCGATAACATTAGAATAACATTGTAATAAGAAAATATAACGTTGCAGTAAAAAGAAAATGCTGACAAACACACAGCAAGGTGCACGTCTTCATTTATTTCTATAATATGGTAATGTTTGATGCTTGCTACACTGTTTTTGAACCAATATGCATGAGACAAGGTGCAAAATAAACATTGCACATTGGTTCCTCATTTCATGACATCACTTTTACATTGTGACATAATCTTGTGACTTTTAGTGACAGACTGAACAACCCACAGCTACTTTCCCTGTTTTGCTGTCTGTCTTCACTTAGTAAAGCAAAGTGAAGCATTCTACAGACTAAGTACCGCTATAGTCTGTGTCCCAAATGGCACCCTGTTCCCTATTTAGTGCACTACTTTTGACCAGAGCCTTATGGGCCTTGGTCAAAAGAAGTGCACTAAATAGGGAATAGGGTGCCATTTGGGATGCTAACATTGTCTATATATAGAGACATTTGGCTCAGTTGGCTGGACCATAGCTGCTGCTGACTCATGATTCTATCCATCCCTGGACCTCTAAAACAGCATACACTCCCACACACACACACAGAGAGAGAGAGACCCACTTTAATGCTCTTAGGACAACATCTTCTATCAGCAACAAAGCCATTGTTGTTGTTTATGTATCATTCCTTAAAGAATATCTAAGTTGGTCATCAAATCAGAACAAAAGAGAGTAGAAGGTGATAACGTTTGGTAATAACTTATCGTGAATGTGCATGAATTAACTATTTATCAGTGTTCACATACAACAACGAAAAACATTATTTTATTTGTCAAGGTTTGTTAAGCATTTATAAGCATGCACATTTACACATTTATAATTTATCATTTATAATGGCTTAGTCATGAAAGTTTATAAGGTGTAACAAAAGTATTTATTTAGGAATTTGAGTCCCCAAAGACACAGCTAACAGACTTCCTGCATGTCCACAGTGGAGTTCATCATGTCTTGTTACAGTACGTAGATAATCAATGTAGCTCTATACAGAGTGCAGATAAGGTGAAATTCTATCTCTCTCCCTTCAGGGACCCAAGCTTAACTTAGATACATCTAAGAATGAAAGGTCATCATTCCACTAGTAGCATTTTCCACTGGTATTCTATTATATGGTCTCCAACAACTGGAACAATATGGTAGAAAGTAAAAAACTGGCCCATGATTGTGCAAATAATAAAATGACACAGAAGATGGTGTAACCTCTTTACCAGGTTTGTCCCATTGAGGATTACATATTTATCCCAGGGAAGACCTGGCTAAGAGGCAGCATAAACATATCAACACACAATCAAAAGCCAAACATTGACTTGCAGAGAAGTGTCAAAAAGGACAGTGGCACAATGTGTGATTGAATATGAACAGTCAGGTCCCTTACAGAGCTGTATATGTGTTTCCCTCTCTTTCACCATGCCTATTAACTTGAAGTCATACTGTATGTAGCCTAATGAAATAAGTAAAAGTAAGCTATGGTCATAGAATTAGGAATTAGAATATTAGAATGGACATGAACCTTCTTATGATGGTATAAAGGTCAGCCATGTTGGTCAGGGAGTTGGTCAACCATGGTTTGCCATGGTTTGCCAGTGCTGTGATAAGATATTGTGTAAAATAATTAATTTGAACTGTATGTTTGTTAGCTAGCTCTTCATACAGTTTTAGAGGAATGATTCCATAAGTGTTTCAAATTAACTGCCAATATGGCAACATTCCATTCAAACCATGCAGGCAATCCACAGCCATACACTGGGTCAAATCGCTAGTATTTAATAGGATCTCCATGGCTATGATAGCCTATGTATTGTGAAAATTATATTGACTCCATGTTATTGGAGGTAGCCTAGGAATTAAGAAAGTCAATAGAAATAAACAATAGAATACCCTACATGTACTGTATCTAGTCATATCCATGACCAAAAAGAGAACACGTTTTACAATGGAGATACACTACATGACTAAAGGTATGTGGACACCTGCTCGTCGAACATCTCATTCCAAAATCATGGGCATTAATATGGAGTTGGTCCCCCCGCTATAACAGCCTCCACTCTTCTGGGAAAGCTTTCCACTAGATGTTGGAACATTGCTGCGGGGACTTGCTTCCATTCAGCCACAAGAGCATTAGTGAGGTCGGGCACGGATGTTGGGCGATTAGGCCTGGCTCACAGTCGGCGTTCCAATTAATCCCAAAGGTGTTCGATGGGGTTGAGGTCAGGGCTCTGTGCAGGCCAGTCAAGTTCTTCCACACCGATCTCGACAAACCATTTCTGTATGGACCTCGCTTTTTGCACAGGGGCATTGTCATACTGAAACAGGAAAGGGCCTTCCCCAAACTGTTGCCTCAAAGTTGGAATGACAGAATTGTCTAGAATGTCATTGTATGCTGTAGCATTAAGATTTCCCTTCACTGGAACTAAGGGGCCTAGCCCGACCATGAAAAACAGCCCCAGACCATTATTCCTCCTCCACCAAACTTTACAGTTTGCACTATGCATTGGGGCAGGTAGCGTTCTCCTGGCATCCGCCAAACCCAGATTCGTCCGTCGGACTGCCAGATGGTGAAGCGTGATTCATCACTGCAGAGAACACGTTTCCACTGAGTCCAATGGCGGTGAGCTTTACACCACTCCAGCCGACGCTTGGCATTGCGCATGGTGATCTTAGGCTTGTGTGTGGCTGCTTGGCCATGGAAACCCATTTCATGAAGCTCCCGACGAGCAGTTCTTGTGCTGACGTTGCTTCCAGAGACAGTTTGGAACTCCATAGTGAGTGTTGCAACCGAGGACAGACAATTTTCACGCACTACGCGCTTCAGCACTCGGCGGTCCCGTTCTGTGAGCTTGTGTGGCCTACCACTTTGCGGCTGAGCCGTTGTTGTTCTTAGATGTTCCCACTTCACAATAACGGCACTTACAGTTGACCGGGGCACCTCTAGCAGGGCAGAAATTTGACAAACTGACTTGTTGTAAAGGTGGCATCCTATGACGGTGCCACGTTGAAAGTTGCTGAGCTCTACAGTAAGGTCATTCTACACTCTAAAAATTAGGGGTTCAACAAGGGTTCTTCTAAGATCCTTAAAGTTCTTTGAAGAACCTTAGGGTTCTTGGCACTGAAAATTGCCCCCAAAAGGTTATTCCAAGAACCCCATAGGAGGTGGGGTTCATCGAGGAACTCACTGGTTCCCAAGGCTATCAGACTGGTAGAGAGGGTCATTCGAACGCCGTAGTGGTGGGGTTCAATCCAGGAACCCATACTCAAAAATGATACATTGTAGTGCTTTGGAAAAAGCGTTGCTAAAGGCATATATATATTATTAAGTGTTTTACAACCTAATGAACTAAAGTTTGGATTTGAAGGCGAGTGCATAAATTTCTCTCTATTGTAGGTCCTGTAT